CCCCAAAACCCCAAAACCCCAAAACCCCAAAACCCCGCTTAAGACCGAGAAAACTGATGTTTAAATTATTTATAAGAAATGGAAACTATCCGGTTGTGTGAAGATTGAGACCAAGATATTACTCAGAAAGTTATTGCAGTGATGAAGAATTATGAGGTTGGAGAGGAACTGTTGACTGGGCTTGGACAAGATCAAGGATTTGATAGGTTCTGTAATGAGTGGGTATCTCGAAGGGGAGGGATTGGGTACATGCAGACTAATCAACAGGATACAGATGCCTTGAATGAGATGAAAGAGAAATTGAGAGAACAGAAGAATCTCATAAGGAAATTAATATAGTGAGCAATAGAAAGAGGTTCGATGCCGAAATTGCTTCTTCTGTTAATGATCTTGAATTAACTCTCATGATATCCAAATATGAACAAAATCGATACCCTTGTAAAGCCTTCAATTCTAAAACAAATCTCAGGATTAATACTAAAAATCCGAGAGATCAGCAGATTCTTAAAAGAATATAAATTTTCATATTCCTACATGTGGCATTATTAATTTTACCTTCAGTAAAAATAATGAGAAAATGGTCAGAAAGTTCTTCGAGAAAGTTTTCCCCAAGAAAACTGAGAGATTCCATTTATGTTACTCGTCCGTAAATAATTCAAACAAAAATGCGACCAACATTGGTGGCTACCTCAAGAAATTACAGCTTGCTTCTTTAACCCTCATCAAGGTGCTCAGATTGGACGAGTTTAGTATTAATCAAGCCCAATTCAAGAGAATCTTTAGCCTCTTCAAAGGGATCAGGACAATTGAGTTTGGGAGGTGAATGATCGACCTGGATACTACACCTGACCTTTCTCTAGCTCTAAAGAAATGCACTCTTAACAGTTTGAAATTCAACTTTTGTTACATCAATTGTCATGCCGAGATCGATAAGAAAGTTGAGAACTGTCAAAACTTAATCCAAGCTCTTAGTCAGTCTCCAGACCTGATTCAAAGTCTGGAAAAGTTAATACTAATTTATACTGGCTTGACCAAAGGAGTTGTGGAGAGGATCAGCAAGATGAGACAGCTCCGTTACATTCTTGACAATAAAAGTTTAAGTTAATGAAAGACATTAGTGAAATATCTTTAACTCAAATAATTTTCAATAATGTCACTTGTAAAGGGGTTTTGGGGTTTTGGGGTTTTGGGGTTTTGGGGTTTTGGG